CTCAAGTTGCAAGTTCTTCACCCTTGTTTTGGGCCTCCGGGCCATCCAGCACCGGAGAGGCCAGGGAGGCCGGCCCCGGAGGGGGGCCGGCCGTTCTGGCGCGGGGCTGCGCAGGGGCGGAAGCCCCCAGCCACAGGGCCCCCGGAGGGGGGCCAGGACAGTGTCATTATTTACCACTGTTCCACCATCTCTGATTTTACTGCTTCTTCTTTTATATATATAAACATTTATTAATGCCATCTTTTATATTACGCTTACATATATTTTACAGTGTATAACATTTCTTTATTTTGCTGCTTCTTTTTACTGTTATAAACTTTACTCTTTGCTATGATTTGTGTTTCCCCCCAAATTCATGCATTACATTGATTGTGAAGGTATTAAGAAGACAGATAATGCCTTCACAGTGTCAGAAGTTGACACACTTCGGTGTGCTTGAGTTATCAGGGTGGGGCTCCCCTGTTGAATTCTGATGGGTTAACAAAGAGAGAGGAAGAGATCAGAGCACAGAGACTCTGATGGATGCAACTGTCCTGCTCGGCTCTTCCTCCTGTGATGTGATTTCTTGGGACTCTGAGACCCACATCAGAGCTGGCTCTTGGCCCTTAAATCTCCAAACTATAAGCTGAAAAGCTCATTCTCTTAAATTACTCAGACTGAGATATTTTCTGTGATTATTAACAAAAATGAAGTAAAACACTCATATTCTCTAAAGTTCCCTGTGTTTAGATTTGTATTGACCATGCTATGTCAGACACACAATTTACCATATGCTTTCTCCTAGGAGCTCTTCTGGGTGGAGAGGCTTGCATTTATGCCAATGTGTGCAGTTAATAATCTGACCCAATTTCCTTCCACTCGAGGACATTGGATAAAACATAGCAAATAGGAAATGGTCCCTGGGAAGTATGAGGGATGCCATACAGACTGGAGGCTCAACCAAGTCATCATCTCCTTTACATGAACCATGAATGGTCAAATCTCTTAAGGGAGCCAGAGTATCAGGGCTGGGATCCAAATTACATGTTTTACATCTGAGGGACCCTGAACCATCATCTTCACAATTCGTGTCTTAATTTTATCAACAGAAGCATGGGTATTTTTTTAAACTGTCTTGTAGGATTGTTCTGAGAGAGAACATGTATAGTTCTTTCTTCAGAGCTTAGTAAGTGCTCACTAAATTAAATTTAATTAATTAATTAATATAAATGGCTTAGAGTAGCACCTTGATGGTTGGCAAGAATAAGCTCCTTTTTTCTTTTCTTCTATTTTCTCTTTTTTTTTCTTTTCTTTTCTTTTTTTTTTTTTTTTTTAAGAGATTTTGTGCTCACTGGAAAGACAAAAAGAGGAAAATTACTCCTGCACTGTGATCTCTTCTCCTCCATTTTCATCTCAAGATTTTGAGCACACACACGAGTCCAGTGTGAGTTTTAAGCCACTGGGCCTAGGACTCAAACCCCAATTTACTATGTTGGAGTTCAGTGAAATAACCATTATACCATCTGCTGATCCCAAGAATAAGCTCCTATTAAAGGCAGCATAAAGGAACCAAGATGAAAGCGAATGATCCATTTTCTACGACAGTTTGGATAATGGAGGAGCAACAAGTGTGGCCATCCCTCCTGGCGGGCACTTTCTCATTTCCTCTCTCTCTCCTCTCACTCCCTGTTTCTCTCTGGTGTGTCATATAGCAAATTAAAATAAGTAATTAAAATAAATAATAATAATAAAAAGACTAATATGATATGGAAGCCCTTATTATGTGGAAGATAAGAAATACTGAGAAAACAACAGTCCTCAAGGAGCCAAGATTGCATCTGATAGCCTTAAGAGCTATGTGTTTGAAGTGAGTTTTGCAGATCTGTGGAATAATGAAGTTGCATTAGAAAATTTAAGCTACTTAGAGAGGACGATCAGGGCAAAAACTGCGTGACTGACTTCGGTAGCATGGAGCATGGACCTTATCCATGAAAAAATGTGTTCGATGGTCATAAAATGGCAGACCATGGTTGAAGGTCATGTTGAAGTCAAGACTGCTGATGGTTATTTGCTTCATCTCTTTGTCTCAATGATCAGATATGGAAGACCTCTTATGCTTAGTTTCAACAGATCCATCAAATCCTGAAGAAGCTGATTGAAACCATGATTCTATGAGTTACAAATAACTTGAAAGTCGTCATCATAAACTGATTCTAAATAGCTTTGGGAAAGAGGTAGAAAAGACTTGTCCATATACCTATCCTCTCTAAGATGTCTTTGTTGAAAAAGTAAAAATGCTGAATAAGTCCAAGTTGGAATTAGGATATCTCATGGAGCTTTACAGTGAAGGCAGTAGTTCTAGAAAAGCTCCTGGGGATGAGACAGGTGCTAACGTCAACCAGCTGATGGGTATGAACCACCAGTCCAAGAATCTGTTTAAAGTTCAAAATTGTAATAGTAAGGAATAAAAAGTCCTACTTGTAAACAAACAAAAAAATAATTAATGGCCTTTAACATTTTATTAATTAACGTATTAATTTGTTTGTTTTCACATTAAATCACTGTGCATCATTACAACATATCAAATGAATTTTCCCATAATGAATACACCATGTATTAGTTCAGTCAAAGACATTACCATACCTGTAATCATCAACAGATTATTTTTCATTTTTATGTCCCTTAAATGGTTTGCTTCTTTCTTTCTCCACTTGATTCCCTTCTTCTTATGCTCCCCCGTTTTTCATATTCCTCACACACTGTCTCCAGTATCCACAGTTCTTCTCCATGCTTTTATACCTTCCAATCTTTCAGTTTTTGCCATAGAGTGCAGACATTTGGTATATATTGAGGGGAACATATTATTGTATTATTTTTGTACTCTCTTCATAGTGTGGCTTGCTTCACTTAGCAAGAAATCTTCCATATTTGTCCACTTTCTATCCAATGCCAGGGTCTTATTTCTTTTTTATGGCTGAGTAGTATTCCATAGTGGATATGTGCCACACTTTTTCAATCCATTCATCTGTTTATGGATGTTTTGGTTGGTTCCATGTCTTAGCAATTGCAAATAGTGTGGCAATAAACATGAATATGCAAGATAAAGCTGAGCATTCTTCTGTCCTTTGAGTAGATACCTAGGAGTGGAATTGCTGGATCATATAATAGTTCTTTTTGTAGATCTTTGAGGACTCTTCATATAGTTTTCCACAGTGGCCCTACTAATTTACATTCCCACCTACAGTGTACGAGAATTCCCTTTTCTCCACAGCCTCTCCAGCACTTACCATTCTTTATTTTTTTTAAATCTTGGCCATTCTGACTGGGTTTAGGTAGTATCTCATTGTGGTTTTGATTTGTGTCTTCCTTACAATAAGTGATGTTTAGCATTATTTCAAATGATTTTGGATGCACACATGTCTTCCTTAGAGAGTTGTCTGTTCAGTTCACTTGCCCATCTTCTAATTGGGTTGATTATTTGTGAGGGAAGGGAGAATTAAGTGCCTGAGTTCCTTGTATATGTTGGCTATTAGTCCCTTATCTAAGGCATAGTTTACAAATATATTCTCCCATTCTAAGGGATGTCGATTCACTCTCATTTTTGTTTCTTTTGCTTTGCATAAGCTTTATAACCTGTTGTCTATTTCTGGGATTCTTGCCTGTGCTTGGGGGTTCTTATTTAAGAAGTCTTTGTCTACTACAATATCTCCATTTACAATAACCAGAAAAAGTATAAGTACCTACGAAGAAACCTAACCAAAGAAGTCAAAGACCTCTACAAGGTAAACTATGAATATCTTAAAAAAGAAATTGAAAACAACACAAAAAAGTGGAAAGACATCCCATGTTCCTGGATTGGAAGAATTAATATAATCAAAATGTCAATGTAGTTCTGTAAAAATTAATGCGTGTCTACTCAAATTAATCTACATATCTAATGCAATCCCAATGAAGTTATCAGAAATGTTCTTCACATATTTAGAAAAAACAATTATAGGAACAAACAAGAGGCATAATAGTTATGCCGCTGGACTCCTGTGTAGTCAACAGTGATTTGAGTCCTAGACCTGGCAGCTGAAAACACACTGGGCATATATGCATGCGTGTTCAAAATGCTGAGAGGGGAATGGAGGAGAAGGGATTATAGCACAGCCATTCCCCCAGGGGGTGATTTCTCACTTTCTGTCTCTCCCTGTCTCTCCACAAGTGCACACACCCTATAGCAAAAAAATATCTCTTTAAAAAAAAAAGTATGAAAGGAAAAACAATGATAGAATGTGCCTGGAATCATAAAAGACCCTGTATTGCCAAAGCAATACTGTGCACAAAGAGTGATGTAGGAGGCATTGTAATCCCTGACCCCATAATATATTACAAAGCTGTGATAATGAAAACACCATGGAGCCGGCACAAAAATAGATGTGTAGACCAATGGAACAGATTACAGACCCCAGAAATAAACCCCAAAACATATGCCCAACTGATTTTCTTTACATTTTTTATTTCATTTTCTCTTATACGTTCAATCACATTATTTAGCTTACAAAGTGAATATTTCAACAGGTGAAGTCCAGTTGATAAAACTATAAAATATCTTCAACAGATAATACCACATTTCTTTGTCCCATTAATGCATTGCCTCCCTATTTTTCTTCTAAATGTCCTTCCTCATACCCTACTCTTTCATACACACTATATCTGGTATTTACATCTATATACCGTGTTTCTATATCCTTTGGTCAATCGGTTTCAGTCATAGAGTACGGACACGGGATGTATTAAGTGTGGACATACAATGCCTCTCCTTCAAAGCCTGGCTTGCTTCACTCAGCAATAAATCTTCCATATTCATCCACTTCCTGCCAAAAGCGTTTTGTTGTTTTTTATGGCTGAATAGTATTCCATAGTAGAGTATATGTGCCACAATTTTTCTATCCATTTATCTGTTCATGGGCATTTGGGTTGGTTCCATGACTTAGCAGTTGTGAATAGTGCCACAATAAACATTGATGTGCAAACATGTGTCCAATGAAGTATTCTTCTGTCCTTTGGGTAAATACCAAGGAGTGGGGTTGCTGGATCATATGGTAGTTCTATTTGTAGATTGTTGAGGAATCTCCAAATTATTCTCCACAGTGGCTGGACCAATTTACAGTCCCACCAGCAGTGTAAGAGAGCTCCCCTTTCACGCTGGCACTTAACATTTTTTGTTTGTTTTGTTTTTTTAATCTTAGTCATTCTGACTGGGTTAGGTGGTATCTCATTGTTGTTGTGATCTGCATTTCCCTTACAATGAGGGATGTTGAGCATTTTTTCTTATGCCTGCTTGAGTTCCTTGTGAATTCTGATTATCAGTCCCTTATCTGATGCATAGTTTACAAAAATATTTTCCCATTCTAAGGGCTGTCGATTCACACTAATTATTGTGTCTTTTGCCATGCAGAAACTTCTTAGTCTGATGTAATCCCACTTGTCTATTTTGGGGATTATCAACTGTGCTTTGGGGGTCCTATTTAAGAAGTCTTTCTCTACTCCAATGTCTCCCAGAGTTTCCCCAGTGTTTTCTAGGAGCAGTTTTATGGTTTGAGGTCTTAGGTTTAGATCTTTGATCCACCTTGACTTGATTTTTGTCAAAGGCAAGAGGTAGGGGTTCAGATTCATCTTTCTGAAAGTGGAAATCCAGTTTTTCCAGCACCATTTGCTGAAGAGGTTTTCCTTTTCCCAGTGGATTGACTGGTAGCCCTTGTCAAAAATCAGTTGACTGTATGTTTGGGAATTGATTTCTGGGGACTCTATTCTGTTCCATTGGTCCACATGTCTGTTTCTGTGTCAGTACCATGCTGTTTTGATTACCACAGTGTTGTAGTATATTTTGGGGTCAGGGAGTGAGATGCCACCCACTCCACTCCTCTTGTGCAGAAATGCTTTGGCAATACGGGTCTTTTATGATTTCAGACAAATGTTATGATTGTCTTTTCTAGATCTGTGAAGAATGTGTCTGGCACTTTGATTGGCATTGCATTAAATATATAGATTAATTTTAGTAGAATTGACATTTTGATTATATTAATTCTTCCCATCCAGGAAGATGGTATGTCCTTCCACTTTTTTGTGTCATTTTCAATTTCTTTTTTAGCTTCTCATAGTTTTCCTCGTGGAGGTCTTTCACTTTTTTAGTTAGATTTATTCCTAAGTATATTATACTTTTTGTGGCTATGGTAAATGGAATAACTTTTTCCAGTTCTATCTCCGTCTTCCTGTTGTTTGTATATAGAAATGCTATAGACTTCTGTATATTAATTTTGTATCCTGCAACTTTACTGTATTTGTGCATTACTTTATGGAAACCATTGGGTCTTCTATGTATACAATTATGTCATCTGCGAATAGAGAGTTCCCCAACTGGTTTTTGACAAAGGACACCAGATAATCCAGTGGGTAAAAGAAAATCTATGCAGCAAATGGTGCTGGAAAAACTGGGTGGTCAACTGCTGGAAGCTGAAACTGGACGCTTAACAAAAATCAACTCAAAATGGATCAAAGACCTAAACTTAAGACCTCAAATTGCAAAACTATTGGTGGAAAACACTGGGGAACTCTTGGAGACATAGGAGTAGGGGAAGACTTCAAATTAATGCCTTCAAGTGACAGAAATGTATCTTATTCCAGTTTTGGAGGTCAGATCTAAAGTGAGTTTCTATGGAACACAATCAAGATGCATGAAGAGCCACACAATTTCCAGGGCTGTGGAGGAGACTATTTTCTTGCCTAGTTCCATGTCTAGATCTGTGTTCCTAGGCTTCTGAATGGGTTCATGAGACAGGTTCATTATCTCACACTTTTCAGTGCCCATGTTAATTTCTCAGGTAACTTCAAGATTGTCAGGTGCAACTTGTTCCCCAAATATTTCTTTACTTACAATTGTATACAGTTGAATAATAAAGTTTTAGGCCTTCCCTCACCAGTCTGTATAATGAGGCTGACTTGAAGAGGGACACTTTTTATCAGATATTACAAACGAAAGGTGCTATTACATCCTAAGTTGTCCGGAGAAATGAATGTCTATTCTCTCTACAACTTAAGAGACCTTCATAAGACAAAGCAAATCTGATTCGAACTGTACATCTGGATCTGTTTTTATGCAAAACAGCTGGAAATTTCTCTATTTAGCACCTATGAAAAATGAATAAATGAAGGGCCAGCAGGTAGCATGGTGGTTAAGGGCACTGGACTCTCACATGGCTCAATGTGTTTCGACTCCCGGACCTGGAGGTTTGCTTTCTCACTTTCTCTCTCTCTCCTTTCTCTCTCTCTCTCTCTCTTCTCTCTCTCTTTCTCTCTCTCATGTCCCTCTCTGGTCAAATTAAAATAAAGAAAGTTAAATAAAATAATTCTTTTTTTAAAATCTGCATGAATAAAAGGAGGTAGAAATAACTTCAGAGGAAGGTATATTAGCATTATATTACTGCTGTAATGAGTTATTATAAAATTAGTGCTTAAAATAACATAAACGGTTATTCTATAATTCTGTAGACCAGACATCTGAAATGTTTTCCACTGGGATAACATCATGGCATCAGCAGAGCCACGTGATTTTCTGGAGGTTCAAGTAGAGGATCCATTTGCATGTTTTTCCCAGTTTCTTGAAACCATCCACATTTCTTGGTCAACAGACCCTTTGCTCCATCATGAATGCCAGCAACACTGCATCCATGCCCCCTTCTTCTGCAGTCACATCTCCCTTTGAGCACAGCCAGGAAATTTTGCACACTTTTAAGGACTCATGTATTTGTACTGGATTCATGCAAATAAGCACAGGTAATCGTATTTCAAATTCTTTTTTTTTAATTTTCTTTTTGTGTGTTTATAAGCCAGAAAGCATGTGTGCTTGCAATGAAGAGATGAGAGAGAGAGAGAGAGAGGAGAGAGAGAGAGAAAGGAAGAGTGAGGAAACACTGCTTGTGGAGCTTAGTCATGCCGTAATTCCTTCTCCATTTCTCCATTCAGTCAGGATTTGAGGCAAGCAGGCATAAGTGCCAAGTGTCTTTTTCAAGCAGTTGGAGCTGGAATTCAAACCATGTACTCAGACATGTTGGACCTGGCTCCTTTAGCCACTAGTCATGGTCATTTGTGGCCTATAAATTTTTTCAAGTGTACTTCTTTCTTTTTTTCCAGTAGTGAGAGAGACAGAAACAGACATAGCCAATGGAATCTTCATGCCACAATCTACGTCCCACTCAGTCATCCCAGATTGTGGGCACACTCATGTGTGGAGTGTTCTGGGAGGTTTCCAGACATGAACCTGGAACTTAGAACCAGGATACCATGGGGGTCTGCCTTACAGAGTTTTGTGCTACCACTCTGCCAAACCCTTAAATAATTTAATAATGTCTGCAGAACCCTTCTATCATGTAAAACAACATATTCACGGGTTCTTAGAATAAGGAAATGAACATTTTGGGGGGCTATAATCCTGCCTGTTGTTGAAAATAACCAAACTCTGTAGAAATAATGAAATTTTTTTATTCTCGCCACAACCTGAAAACACAATCCCTGGTATTCTTGAGAAAGTGTTTCAGAGTGATTAGATACAGCTCCTTTATTTGGTTCTGAGAGCTGGAGGCACAAACACATTGTAAATCAATATCTTGGATCTTTACATTGGCTTGTCCCAAAAAGGCAGAACATCTCAGATCTGGGGCTTAAAAATTGCAGGTGGGTACAGAAATTCTTACATTTGTAATGTGTTAAAAGCACAAGTCTTTGTCTAGAAAAGACACAGAGTCAGCAGAAAAGAATGCCTGCGTTTAACTTTAACAGAGAGAAAGAGGCTTTCCTGTGTATCACATGATGCCGTGCCAGGGTCAGGATTGCAGGAAGCACCCCACGATCACTAGACTACAGTGGTCTGTTATAGCAAGATAAGCGTTCATAGACCTGAGTCCTTAGACCCCTTGGAAAGAATCTTAAACTAGAAAGAGTAGTCAGAGATCTGTCCTCATTCCTAACACAGAAGTAATCCAAAATTAAAGAAGGGCTTTGTCCATGTAAATAAACAGACGTCTGAAGCTGAATTATTAGACAAACACACTCCTGAAGGTTAATACGGTATATTGGTTGAGATCTGGTTGAGTGTTTAGAGCAAACCTGTTTCAAACAATGGGCATTATTTGCTGTGTCTGCAGCCTTGAGCAAGTTGCTGTGCTTCTTTGTAGACTCTGTTTCCATTACTGTAAGATGGACGTTTTGTAATATTTACTCCTAAAGGATGTCATGGGAGCCATGCCTTACTTTTGAGACTCTCCCTTCAGAACCAAAGCTCTCATGTCCCCAGCCCTGTAGTGTGTTGACTGCTAATGGTTCAGAGCTGTTTCCTTCCAGGAATTTCTGTAGTAAGAGGGTAGACACAAGCAAAATAGCTCCACATGCTAATTTCAAGAAGAGTAGAGGAGGCTGAATTCTCAATGTCAGCAAGATTGCCATACCAAAGCCAGGGCATTCATGGGATGCATGGGATGGGGACATCTGAGCCAATCATTTGAAAATCTTCAATCTAGATGGACTGAAGGGAAATGTTTACATATTGAAATGTTCACTCTGTAAGCTAAATAATGCGATTGAATGTATTAAAAAATTAAAATAATAATAATAATAAAGAAAGTGCACGTGAGAGCAATCTAAAAAGAAAAAAGAAAAAGAACGGCACGCACGCACACGTGCCCAGGGTGAGTTTAAGTCACCAGGTCCAGGACATGAACCGTGGTTGACTACATGGGAGTCCAGTGACATAGCAATTATGCTAACTGCTGGTCCCAAATCCCTATTGTTCTCTTTGAATGGTTCCAGCATACAGAAGAGATACACTCTTCTTAGGGAAAAGCAAGTACGCTCTCTTTGCTTAAGGACAATGCAAAGGCTTCTTCTACCTTGCAAGAGACAAATACTCCATTCTCAGCATCTACTCTCACATCCCCTGCAGGCCAGAAATAAGTTACTAGAGTTACATTGCAATGTAACCCAGGAGAATGTTGGGCCTGGTGAGATACAAAAGGGACCATTACCCAAGGTGCTGAAGGTCCCACTCAAAATGACTGGCGAGAGCCTGAAAATTTCAGGTCAAGGGAGACAGACAGGGAGGTTTTCAATATAAAAGTCCTCTCCTTTGATGTAGGATTTAACACTCTCCAGGGACAGCAGGGAAAACAAGACAATATGCTGATAGGAAGGCTTTAAAATATGGGAAAACACAAAAGTTCATACTAAATAGTGGAGCTCCATAACTGTAATGGACATTAAAAGTAGGATTCAGGGACCAGCAGATAGTAATTGTTATGTCATTGGACTTCCACATAATCGATGATAGTTCAATCCCAGAACCCTGGTGGTTTATAACTTGCACCGGGCGCATGCGTGTGTGCACCCAAGATCCCAAGAGCAGAATAAAGGAGAAGGGATTGTGGCATGGCCATCTCCCCTGAGGGATGATTTTTTGCTTTCTGTCTCTCTCTCTTCTCCATGGTGAGCTTACATGCTTTGTAGCAAAAATCTCTCTCTACAAAAAAAAAAAAAAAGGATTCAAATAGTTCAGAATAAGTTTACTAGAATGAAGATTTAATGTAAGACTAAAAAACTTAATAGCCAGCTATGCAAAAGGACACAAAGGACATTTGACTCACCAGAGTGATCAGGACCAAAGGGTACCAGCATCAATGACAACCTTAGTGATAGCTGAACTCTCGAGGCAGAGCTAACAGTGGGTGATGCCAGCACAAAATTGGATTCTCAGATGTGAACTGGATAATGTGTCAAAATAAAAGAGGCCAGGTGTCAATGTTTAACCATCAGAAACAAGGTGGAGAAGTTAACCCAGTGATAAGCAAGACTGGAGCAACCATCGTATAAGACAACACTAAACAAGTAGCAAATAGCAGAAGTAAATTAATTAAACCTTGCTATTAAAAGACAGAGGATAGTTGGGACCAGCAGATGGTGTAGCAGTTATGTCACGACTTCAGCATGACCTACCGCAGTTTAAGTCCCAGACCCAGTGGCTTCAAAATCGTGTCGGTCATATGTGCATACATACCTAAGATCCAGGGAGGAGAATGAAGCAGAAAGGATTGCAGCAAGGTCATACCCCTGAGGGATAATTTCTCACGTTCCCTCTCACCTTGTCTGTCTGTCTTTTTCTCTTTCTCTCCAGTGAGTGCATGTGCCCTAAGGCAAAAATCTCTCCATTTAAAAAAAAAAAAAAAAGAGGCTAACAAATTGGATTTAAAAAGTGGGATCCATCTATATATTTTGTATCTTTTAAATATCGAGACATAACAAGATTTTAAAAACAATAGGTCCAGTAGCAGTGTGATGATTAAGGTGGCTAGATCCGACATGGCTGAAGGGACTGTGGTATGGCCATGCCTTTTAGGGGGTACTTTCTCACTTTCTGTCTCTCTTTTTCTACTCTATGTCCCTCTCCAGCAAGTGCATGCACCCTATAGCAAAACCAAAAAGAAAAAAATTAAAAAGCTAAAAATAAAATGAAATGTATATTTTATGGAAATAGCTACCAGAAGAGAGTAAGAAGCTACATATTTTCAGTTAAAACCCATCTGGATCAAAAAAGTGTACAAGATAAGGAAAGACATTATATAAAAAAGTGTTATTCTTTTTTTTATTGTTTTTATCTTTTTTTTTTTTTTGGAGAGATTTTCACTGTTGGGCGCGTGCGCTCGCCAGACAGACAGAGAGAGACATAGAGACAGAAAGCGAGAAATCACCCCCCAGGGGGGATGGTCACGCCGCAATCCCTTCTCCTCCATTCTCCTCTCGGGATCTTGGGCACGCACGCACACGCGCCCGGCGTGAGGTTTAAGCCACCGGGTCCGGGACACGAACCGCGGTCGACTACGTGGGAGTCCAGCGACATAGCCATTACGCTAACTGCTGGTTCCCTCTTTTTTTTTTTTTTTTACCCTTCGTTTTCTTTTCCTTTTCAGTTAAAACCAATTTGGATCAAAAAAGCGTACAAGATAAGAAAAGAAAAAGACATAGCTTTTTCTTTTACTTTACTTTCTCACTTTGCTGTTCAGCCTCCACAAACTGAGTGTCTAGACAAGTCTAGGTGTACAGTAGCCGAACATCTGAACAGATTGCAGAGTAGCAGAGAGAAGGATGGAGCTGCAGAGAGAGGTCAGCTTATCTCCTGCACACCTCTGAACTCTCCGTTGAAACCCCACAGCTCAGTCTAGGTGTGACTGTTCTCTAAACCAGAAGGCTTTTGTAATATCCATTTCCAACAACAAAAGTGCATGTTGCTTGGTGAGCTTCAGGGAAACAGAACTGCAGAGAGTTCAAGGATCACCTCCACCTGCATGCCTCTGAATGCTCAGATTTAACTCCAAGAAATTAGGAAGAAATGTATAATCCATTAGATGACCAGAAACCACTGCAGAGGCACAAGAAATATGAGAAATCAAGATAATATCTCTTCCAAGGGAAAAGAACAACTCTTTATCATTCACAGACAGCACAGTGGTTATAGGAACAAAACTAATCGAGATGCAAGAGAAGAAAATCAACAAACTCCAGAAGAAGCAAAAGAAAAAAAGACAATGAGTTCCAGGAGGTGATGAAGTCCTTCTATGATTTGAAAGAAGAAATACAAACCATAAAAAAGAATCAAACAGAACTGTTAGAGATGAAGGCTGTAATACAGGAAATCAAAACCTCCTTCTAAAGTATTAAAGATAGATTAGATAATGCAGAAAATCAAATCTCAGATGTAGAAGACAAAACCTCTAACCTAAAAAAAAATCACCAAAAAGACAAAGAAATAACAAAAAAGATGAGAATAATATACAAGAAATATTAGATACCATTAAGCACCCAAACATCCAGATAATTGGTATCTCAGAAGGTGAAAAAAGTGATAAGGGCATTGATAATCTACTCAGGAAGAAAACTTCCCAAACCTAGAGAGTCATTCAAACATCCAGATCCAAGAAATAAAAAGGCCCTCAAATAGAATCAACTCAAGATCTTCTCCAAGACACATTATAGCCAGATTGGTCTAAACCACACACAAAGACAAGATACTAAATTTGGCAAGAGAGAAACATAAAGTTACTTACAAATGATATCCCATCAGGCTAACATTGGACCTTTCATCAGAAACAATGCAAGCAAGGAA